CTCTCTGTATCTCTCTGGCTGCTCTCCATCTCTCTCTGTGTCTCTGTGTCACTCTTGTCTCTCTGTCTTTCTCTATCTCTCTCTGTCTCTCTGTCTCTCTCTCTCTCTCTCTGTGTGTGTCTCTCTGTCTCTCTGTGTCTCTCTGTATCTCTCTGGCTGCTCTCTCCATCTCTCTCTGTGTCTCGTGTCACTCTTGTCTCTCTGTCTTTCTCTATCTCTCTCTGTCTCTCTCTGTCTCTCTGTCTCTCTCTGGCTGCTGAAGCCAACGGTTGCCAAGATAAAGAGAGTCTGGCACATTTATTCACTGGATTGTTCATGCTGGGCCAAGAGGATTAAATAATACTACCACTACCACAAAGGCAGAACGATCATTTTAACCATCAATCATGTAGCTGGTGGGGCAGTTGGGCAGCGGGCTGGCAAAGGAAGGTAGCAACACCAAGAGGGACAGGCAGTCGCCAGCCGTCCAGAGTTCCCGAGGGCACTGCCAGCCCTTGGCAGGCAGACCCCTTCGGGATGGCTCAGGAGCCCTGTTTTCTTTCCTTAAGCAGAAGAGCAGCTGTTTTGCTCGTTTTTGCTTGTTTTCCCATGCCGTAACCACCTCCTCGTTTTAAGGCAGAAGTTGTTTGTTGGGTTCTTCCAACAATTTTAAAAAGAAAAAATAAGAGTTGAGGGCAGTGGTGAAATCCAATTTTTTTTTTACTGCCGGTTCTGTGGGCGTGGTGTGACTTGGTGGGTGTGGCTTGGTGGGCGTGGCAGGGGAAGGATACTGCAAAATCTCCATTCCCACCCCACTCCAGGGGAAGGATATTGCAAAATCTCCATTCCCACCCCACTCCAGGGGAAGGATATTGCAAAATCTCCATTCCCACCCCACTCTGGGGCCAGCCAGAGGTGGTATTGGCTGGTTCTCTGAACTACTCAAAATTTCCGATACCGGTTCTCCAGAACCTGTCAGTGCCTGCTGGATTTCACCCTTGCTGCTGGGGGTTCGCAGCGGTTCAGGAGAACCTCTAGCTAAGATTCTATGCAGTTCGGAGAACCCCCAAATCCCACTCCTGGCTGGCTCCGCCTACCCATCCCCTCCCAGGAGTCCCCACATAGCCCATTTTGGATGAAGGTAAGTGCAGGGCACATGCGGAGGCTCCGGGAGGGTGAAAAACAGGCTTACCAGAACTTCAGGAAGGCAGGAAACGGGCTCGTATCCGGTCTCCTGAGGGCCTCCGGAGCCTGGGGAGGCCGTTTTCGCCCTCCCGGAGGCTCGAAAAAAGCCTCCAGAGCCTGGGGAGGACAAAAAAACCCTCCCCCCGCTGTGGTGCAGGAGGTTTACTAGGCCATGCCCACACCCACCCAGCAACCAGGCAGAGAACCCCTTGCTAAAATTTTTGAAGCCCACCCCTGGCTGTTACTATACATCTCGGTGGGGGAATGGCCCCCCCAAATTTATCAGGGTGGTTGCAGGAAGCTTTGCCAGAGAAAATGGCAAAAGAGAGCCCAGATTGGGATGGAGTATGTGGGTGGAAATTGGCTCCCTTATTAAGCCAAAGACCGCTCCCACCCAATTCAATTTCATGTTTTAACTTTTCAATGCCCTCTTGAAATTTATGTTCCGGTCTCTGAAAGCTTCTGGGAAGGCAACTCTGTAAGCTCTTAAAGCAGGAGAAACCGGAGTAGGTTTTATTTAATGGGAACCCTGGAGTTATTTGCATATCGTGAGTGAACCAGAAAAATGACGCTTGAGAATCGGTCCTCTCGTTTCACGGATAGCAATTTGGGGTCCCGGGGAAAACGGTAGAGTCTTGATCCGGTGCCAGCAAAATCTGCTTGGCTGCAGGGTGTGCCTGACGGATCTAAACATTGACACTAATTATTCAATTACCGTGGAATGGCGCTTAACCCTCCGCTAGGAGTGACTCGGGTTCCCCTCTTGGCTCACCGTGCAGACAGCTGTAGTTCCGCAAACATCTGCCTAGGGCAACAGAGGCTAGAGGAACCCGGGGATCTCTTACCATTGGCCCCCAGTGGCCCTTTCATTTAAAAAAAAAAGTGGGGGGAAGGTATCCGAAGAGCCTATCAAAATCCAGAATCAGAATCCAGAATCCAGGAGTATGAAGGAGGACTGTTATCCTTAACACCTTCTCAAGTGAGAAAGATGTATTTTCAGGAACTACACTGAAAATGTAAAGAAGGAACAGGGTTTTTATTATGTCTCTTAGTGGACACGAAACTGCCTGGCTAATTAAATGTAGGTTTTAAGATGACACTGGGCACTCAAGATAGTGATAGCACTTAAGACTTATATACCGCTTCACGGTGCTTTGTAGCCTTCTCTAAACAGTTTACAGAGTCAGCCTATTGCCCCCAACAATCTGGGTCCTCATTTTACCCATCTCGGAAAGATGGAAGGTTGAGTCTACCTTCCGGTCAGGATCGAACTCCTGGCTGCGGGCAGAATCGGCTTGCAATACCCACTAGGCCACCAGGAAGCAGAATGGGGAAGGAAGGAAGGAAGGAAGGAAGGAAGGAAGGAAGGAAGGAAGGAAGGAAAATAGCAATAGCACTTATATACCGCTTCACAATGCTTTGCAGCCCTCTCTAAACGGTTTACAGAGTCAGCTCTTGCCCCAACAATCTGGGTCCTCATTTTACCCACCTCGGAAGGATGGAAGGCTGAGTCAACCATGAGCTGGTCAGGATTGAACTCCTAGCTGTGGGCAGAGTCAGCCTGAAATACACACTGGGCCACCAGAAGGAAGGAAGGAAGGAAGGAAGGAAGGAAGGAAGGAAGGAAGGAAGGAAGGAAGGAAGGAAGCAAGGAAGGAAGGAAGGAAGGAGCAGGAATAAGACTTATATACTACTGCTTCACAATGCTTTACAGCCCTCTCTAAACAGTTTACAGAGTCAGCTTCTTGTCCCCCAACAATCCGGGTCCTCATTTTACCCCCTCGGAAGGATGGAAGGCTGAGTCAACCTTCAGCCTTGGTGAGATATTTTTATTAAAGAAAAAATAAATCTCATTTTAAGTTTTCGAGACAGTCCAGTGATTCTCATTAGGGAGCTTCTTCCTTCTGGTGTCAATTCATTTGTCTCCAACCTCCCACGAGAACAACATAGTAACAGAATAACAGAGATTATTAGAAGGGATCTTGGAGATCTTCTAGTCCAGCCTCCCTGCTAGGGTAGGAAACCTTAGACCATTTCAGACAGAAAGAGCTGTCCAATCTCTTCTTGAAAAGTTCCAGTGATGGAGCACTCACAACTTCTGGAGGCAAGATGTTCCGCTGGTTAATTGTTTTCACAGTCACGAAATTTCTCCTTAGTTCTAGGTTGCTTCTCTCCTTGATTAGTTTCCACCCATTGCTTCTTCTCCTGCCTTCAGGTGCTTTGGAGAATAGCTTGAGTGGGGATTTTGAAATATCCTTCTCCTAGGAGTAGGGAGGGAATGGGGATTTTGCAGTATCCTTCCCCTGGAGTGGGGAGGGAATGGCGATTTTGCAATATCCTTCCCTTGGAGTGGGGAGGGAATGGAGATTGTGCAGTATCCTTCCCCTGACACGCCCATCAAGCCACACCCACAGAACGGGTAGTAAAAAATTTTGCATCCCACCACTGGTGGAATTGCAGTGGCACAGTTCTTCACGAGATAAATTATCCTTCCATCCCCTTGGGATGGACCCAAGCAGACCCAGCCTGGATAATGATCTTTTAAGATGGATGGGTAAGCAATTTCCTCGATCTTGGGGGATCCTGTCTAGCAAGGCCAATGAAAGAGCCAGAGAACTTAGCGAATGCAAGAGACCTTATGTTGCATTTTCAGAGTTCCCGCAAATTGATTGGAAGCCAAATAAGGTAGATGTTGAGAAAAATATTTGGATGTGGCTGGCTAATATATTTAGCTGCGCAGAGATAGCATCCTTTTCATGGAGTGATGTGGTGGCCTAGAGGTGGACCTCTTGCCTCACCATCAGGAGGCTGTGAGTTTGAACCTAGGCAGAGGCAGATAATTTCTCTCTCTGGGCACTCTGAGAATGTATCTGCTGAACAAAACTCCATATTGGTGACAGGAAGGGCATCCGGCCAGTAAAACACTCTGCTAGCTCCACTCAGCTGCCCAGACTCCATTCTGCAAGGGATTATGGGGTTGTTTAAATGAAGATGATGATAGCATCCTTTTCATCTATGTTTAGAGACTCGTGGTTGAATCTTATCTTTTCATTGGTTGGATTTTTCAGTGCGCTGTATCTTTTGACGGCTTAATCAGAAATGGCATTACGTCCTAGCGAAGCACATACAGTTTGCTCGTTTCTTTTCCCGGTCTGTGGGCCAGTTGTCTATGTTAAATCCGGACACGAAAAGAGAGGCAGGATGATCGTAGTGAAGTAAAACAACCGTTTATGGCAGGCAACAGGGAACCACAACAAACTAACTACGAATTGAGAACTGCAGGCTCCTTTTAACCGGGAGCTGTCCAGCATGTCAGCCACTTGACGCTTATTTATTTTCCCGCCAGCGGGAAAATGAACCAATGAGCGAAGGCTGACGTAAGACTCACTCCTACTTGCATATTCAACAGTCTATAGTCTTGGTGTTCTCCAGCTGTATTTTATTTTTAAGAGCACTGGTATAAATTGCTGTTTTGTAAATCGATACAGCCACTTCGATACCTCATTGCTGGCTTTTAACTCCCATTCTTCTTTCGGTGGAGTGATTGCCATCTTACTTTTTCATCTTGGATCCTTTTTAATTCCCACGGAGATGCAAATCTTTTTTTTTTTTTTTTTAAAGGACAGGGGAGGGAATCTGCAGGCTATAAATTTAATAACCCCTCCTTCCTCTATGGAAATTTTGCTTCTTGGATTTCAGATCCAAAACTGGGAACTGGAAGGTTCATAAGGCAATGAATACGGGGATGAAAAATCTCTCCGCCAGCCTGCCTGCCTGCCAGTCACCCCTGTGTTGAAGAATCTCAGTGTCACCTGTTTTACTCTTCCTTCCTTTAGATGCTAGAATCCCCAGACCCGCGCATCACTGATCCACGCCGGACATGGATTTCATTTGTACAGCGTCCGGGTGAAGACAGCAACTCCAAAAAGAAATGCAAAGGGAAAGATAAAAAAGTAGGTTATTTCCGGAAGCTTTTGCTAGCTGGTAATGATAATGCTGACAAAGATTTTTTATTTTTAACGACCTCATAATCCCTCTTCCAAATCACTCTCCCCATATCTACTACTTCAGCTCCCAGGAATGTCCCCCCTCCCATCTAATCTCCTAGGGGATATTATCTTCAGGGAAAATAAGTAGGTGAGAAGTCAAGCGTCCTCTTGCCAGCTGCCCCCCTTCTTCTTATGTCAGTACTAGAGTAAATGCAGGTTGAAGTCCTGACAGCAGGGTGAAGTTGGGGCAACTGAATGGAGCTGAGTGTTTACTGGCCGGTTGCCCTTCCTGTCGCCAATGCGGAGTTTTATTCAGCAGATACATTCTCATTGTGCCCGGAAATATCTGCCTCTACCTAGGATCGAACTCATAGCCTCCTGATTGTGAGGCGAGAGCTCCACCTCTAAGCCACCGCACCACTCTAATGCTGACAAAGATGATGATGATGCATTAAAATGATGCAGACTGACTGACTGATTTTTGATGTTGCCATGCTGTTCCATGATGCTATCCATCCTAGCTGAGTCTTTGGCCAACTCTGTTGGCCAAACAATCCCTGGCATTGTGTCATTTCCCCGATCGGATATCCTGTATGCCCTGGGGGAAAAAAGACTGCAGGGAATGAAGCAATATGGAACAATTCCCTGGAGAATTGTTCAGAAGCAGTGGGGGGAATGATCTTCAAAGTTTTTGGCCCAGCTTAACAGCATCCTTTGATTTTCTTAGACCAGGTCCAAATCAAACCATGAATTTGGGACTCGGCTAAACGAAATGGCAACTTCTCCTACGGCGTAAGGAAGTTTCTGAACATCTTCTCTTTCTCCATCTTTTATTTTCTCCCTAGCGTGGTCTTGCTGGACCTCCGGGCCCCCCAGGTCCTCCAGGTCCCCCTGGTCATCCTGGGGCTGAAGTCACCCATGAAGTCTTAATGCAAGAATTTAAAGACATGTTAAAAGGTAAAGCAGTTCTTTTCCAGCTCTTCGACTTTACTAGAAAGTGAAAGATCGGTATGGAGTAATCGCATTTGCAATCCTTTCCCCCCCCCCACCCAGAAGCCACTGAACGGCGGGCATCTCCAGTTCTCCCATCCCATCCCAGTGAGATGCCGGTGATGTTACCGCCTCTGGAGGAGATCTCCTTCTACCGGCGAGTGGAGGAAGCCTTCCATTGCAAACTCAAGGGGCAAATCATCGTGGACAAGAAAACCTTGATGGAACTCCAGAACTTTCAGATGGTGAGGCCAAGCAGGAAACTTTATTAGGTTCTTGGAGAACGTCTTTAACACCACACCACAGAGTTTGATTACAATGCAAATAGCAATAGCATTTAGACTTATATACCGCTTTACAGTGCTTTTACAGCCCTCTCTAAGCGGTTTACAGAGTCAGCCTATGGCCCCCTAACAATCTGGGTCCTCATTTGACCCACCTCGGAAGGATGGAAGGCTGAGTCAACCTTGAGCCAGTCGGTCAGGATCGAACTGCTGGCAATGGGCAGAGTTAGCCTGCAATATTGCATTCTAACCACTGGGAAGGAAGGAAGGAAGGAAGGAAGATAGCAATAGTACTTAAGACCTATATACTGCTTCACAGTGCTTCACAGCCCTCTCTAAGCAGTTTACAGTCTCAGCCTATTGCCCCCAACAATCTGGGTCCTCATTTTACCGATCTCGGAAGGATGGAAGGCTAAGTCAACCTTGAGAGGGTGAGATTCGAACTGCCAAATTGCAGGCAGCCGGCAGTCAGCAGAAATAGCCTGCAGTACTGCACTCTAACCACTGCGCCACTGTATAGATTTAGAGTGGGTTAGTAAGACTAGGATATGAAGCCGCTGGAACGGAGCTTGATCTGAGCGAGACTTCTTAGTCCTGATAGTACAGGTAGTCCTCAAATTACGACCGCAATCGAGCCTGACGTGTACATTGCTGAGGGAACCACCCCACTCCAGGGGAAGGATACTGCAAAATCCCCATTCCCTCCCTGCTCCTGGGAGAAGGATACTGCAAAATCTCCATTTCCACCCCACTCTGAGGCCAGCCAGAGGTGGTCCTCGCTGGTTCTCCGAACTACTCAAAATTTCCGCTACCGGTTCTCCAGAACCTGCTGAATTTCACCCCTGCAAAAAAAAACACCCTACTCCGTCTGTGTATCCATGTGATCCTCAGCAGTTGAGGTTGCTCAGAGGAGATTTGCGGTAGGATCTGTAGGAAAGCCATGGAACTGTATTGAATGTGTTTGGCTTGTTCCAACATTTGTTCTCTTTTGCGCTGGGGTTACATTTCCCCCCCCCCCACTCTTTGTATGAGTTCTTATGAAAGACAGCACCTCTGTTCCAGTGCTTGTAGCAGGTTAGCCTTTAAGAAAAAAAGAAATGTATGGGGGAGCAGAGATTAGGTGGGGGGGAAGGAAAGTGTCTCTTGGAGTCCAGGCAGGGTCAAAGTTCCCGGCAAGGATAACGTTGGTGCCACTGTAATTGGCGTGAAGAAGACATCTTAATAGCCATCAGTGCACAGGCGAAGGCTGAATTGAGCCAGGCTGCAGCTTTTTCTAATTGGGCTTGGCAGATTCTCTACACGCCTGCCCTGCCAGCCAGCACAATTCGTGCCATCTTCAGCATTCCTATGATGATGTATCCGAGGCAGCGGCTGGCTGCCTGTGGGCCCAGCCGGCTCCCCCGATGACAGAGTCCTCGGCTGGTGGCGATGAAAAGAAAACGAGGCCTAATGTCACCAAGGTTTCAACGCTTTTCATCGATGGGCGCGTCCGCAGCCATCTCTGCACAGGTCTCTTTAATGGGCATTTGATCCTCCGTCAGCGAACTGCGTTTAACAAACTGCAATTATGGTGGTTTTAAAGTATGTTTTCTTCGAAGCCGCTTGGACAACAGCCCTGCAAGGAATTGCACGTGACCGTCCAAACTTAAGAGAGGGATGACAATCTTAATTCAGGAAAGTTGATCTTTTAAATCATCAAAAAGGAGCTGTTTGAAGCAGGGGTGAAATCCAGCAGGTTCTAACAGGTTCTGGAGAACCGGTGGCGGAAATTTTGAGTAGTTCAGAGAACTGGCAAATACCACCTCTGGCTGGCCCCAGAGTGGGGCGGGAATGGAAATTTTGCAATATCCTTCCCCCAGGAGGGGAGGGAATGGAGATTTTGCAGTATCCTTCCCCTGGAGTGGGGAGGGAATGGGAGATTTTGCAATATCCTTCCCCCAGGAGGGAGAGGAATGGAGATTTTGCAGTATCCTTCCCCTGGAGTGGGGAGGGAATGGAGATTTTGCAGTATCCTTCCCCTGAAGTGGGGTGAGAATGGAGATTTTGCAGTATCCTTCCCCTGGAGTGGGGAGGGAATGGAGATTTTGCAGTATCCTACACCTGGAGTGGGGATGGAATGGAGATTTTGCAGTATCCTTCCCCTGGAGTGGGGAGGGAATGGAGATTTTGCAATATCCTTCCCATGGAGTGGGGAGGGAATGGAGATTTTGCAGTATCCTTCCCCCAGGAGGGGAGGGAATGGAGATTTTGCATATCCTTCCCCTGCCATGCCCACCAAGCCACGCCCACAAAACCGGTAGGGAAAAATTTTGGATTTGGTCTGATGTATGTGGAGACGAATATCGGGAACTCAGCTGGCACCCCTACATTCGTCGAAAGAGTGTTTAAAAAACAAAATTAAGACGGAGGGATTTTATACCTGATGCAGAGCAAGGAGTTGGACTAGATAATCTTCCGTAACGCTTCAGATTCTAGCATAGAGGAAACTGCGGCCAGCCTACCATACTGATTTGATACTGCTTTATAATGCCTTGGTAAAATCACATTTGGAATATTGCATGCAGCTTTGGTCGCCTTGATAAAAAAAAAGATGTGGAGACTCTAGAAAGAGTGCAGAGAAGAGCAACTAAGATGATTAGGGGACTGGAGGCTAAAACATATGAAGAACGGTTGCAGGAACTGGGTATGTCTAGTCTAGTGAAGAGAAGGACTAGGGGAGACATGATAGCAGAGTTCCAGTATCTCAGGGGCTGCCCCAAAGAAGAGGGAGTCAAGCTATTCTCCAAAGCACCTGGAGGGTAGAACAAGAAGCAACGGGTGGAAACTGATCAAGGAGAGAAGCAATTTAGAACTCAGGAGAAATTTCCTGACAGTGAGAACAATTAACCAGTGGAACAACTTGCCTCCAGAAGTTGTGAATGCTCCAACACTGGAAGTTTTTAAGAAGATGTTTGGATAACCATTTGTCTGAAGTGGTGTAGGGTTTCCTGCCTAAGCAGGGGGTTGGACTAGAAGACCTCCAAGGTCACTTCCAACTCGGTTATTCTGTTTTTTTTCTTCTTCTGATGGTGAAATATTCAGGTGTAGGAGGATGGGAAAATTGAGGTTGGTATGCAATGCTTTGAGAAAGTGTAAGATAGCTGGCAAGAATTCTAAACAGCGACCAGCTTCGCATTCCTTCGAAGCAGCCCTGAGAGAAGGAATCTTAGCAGACTTGGAAGTGAAATGCCTTAGAATTCAAGAAGGGAGGCTTAATACAACCTCCGTGGGACTTTTTCACCCAGTCTTATAATTGAAGGAAAATGAATATTTTATTCCAGCACCATCATCATCATATTCTCCCCTAGATAGACCACTGATTCCAAACACCGACCAGTCTTTGGTTTTCGACGTGAGATCAGAAGATAGCTGGGGGTTTGAACTTGGGATCAGATTAAGAGCAAAAGAGGGGATTTTACTGCTTAGGGACACCACGGAAAGAATAGCAAAGCATTGTGGGACAGTGGAATCGGTGGTGAAATGTAAAATTTGTTACTACCGGTTCTGTGGGCGTGCCTCTGATGATCCCAGCTGACTTGCCTGATCGGCAGAAGCTTTTTTTTTTTTTAAAGCCTCTGACGATCCCAGCTGACTTGCCTGATCGGCAGAGGCTTTCTTTCTTTTTTTAAAAGCCTCTGACGATCCCAGCTGACTTGCCTGATCGGCAGAGGCTTTCTTTTTTTTTAAAAGCCTCTGACGATCCTAGCGGACTTGCCTGATGGGCAGAGGCTTTCTTTTTTTTAAAAAAGCCTCTGACGATCCCAGCTGACTTGCCTGATCGGCAGAAGCTTTCTTTTTTTTTTAAAAGCCTCTGACGATCCCAGCTGACTTGCCTGATCGGCAGAGGCTTTCTTTTTTTTTAAAAAAGCCTCTGACGATCCTAGCGGACTTGCCTGATCGGCAGAGGCTTTTTTTTTCCTTTTAAAAACATTTTTTCTATAACCTCTTCGGCCGAAGAGGTTGTAGAAAAAATCCTTTTTAAAAGCCTCTGATGATCCCAGCTGAGCCACGCGATCATCAGAGGCATTTTTTTTTTTACTTTTAAAAGCATTTTGGCGGCCAAAGAGGTTGTAGAAAAAATGCTTTTAAAAATAAAAAAAAGCCTCTGATGATTGCGCAGCTCAGCTGGGCAATGTGGGGGGAGGGGCAGGGATTTTTGCTACCGGTTCTCGGAACCACCCACCACCATCGCTACCGGATCGGGCGATCTGGTCTGAACCGGGAGCATTTCATCCCCGTGTGGAATCAGAAGCTTAGGATGGCTCCAGGCTGAGATCTGATTCGTGTCTGACTTAGCGCTTGGGAGTTTTTAAAAGAGAAATCAGCAAGGAGGTGGAAATTTTAAAAAAGGATTTTGTCTTGTCCCATTCCCCAGAATGAAACGAAGGACGGTGACTCTGTATGTTTGTAGGGTTTGAATCCAAAAGGATTCAAACAAGTTGATAATATGTGCGCTTGGAAGCGGGGAGGGGGAAATGTTTGGGGCGGCGCACGTAAGCATCTCATGGCTGCATTCCCCCTTCCTCAGCTGTAATTAAACCAATTTTGCAATTTTTGAGGCTTAAGGGCTGTGTCAGGGAAAACTGGCAGATTGTTCTAACTGGCGAGCAGTTTAACCTATTAGCAGCATCACGATTAATTCCATTCCTTCCCAGAGCATCGCATTAATTCGTTGCCTTTTGTGAGTGTGTTGAGAGAGTGGGAGGGAAGGCGACGTGAAGAAACAGGAATGTTTTTTCAAGCAGCAATTTACTGGTGCCGGGGAAAACTGCTTTCTATTTTCAAGTCAGCGGTTTTGAGGGGAATTAAGTCACTGCCTCTTAAGATATATATATATATATTTGGGGGGGTTTAATTGGTTTTAATGAAACAAGGCAAGAAATTGAAGCTGTCAGAAAGCGCTGCCATCTCCAGAGAAGAGGGGAGTAAAACTTAGCAGGGGATCAAAGAACTGTGAGGAATATCGAGACGAGACAACCCCGCGTCTAATTTCTTCCTCGTCCGCTGTCTAAACCGGTATTTTTTCCCCCCCCAAAAAACTTGGCGACTTTTGAGATAGGTGGACTTCAACCCCCCCACCCAGAATTCTCCGTAATGGTTGGGAAATTCTGGGAGATGAAGTCCGCTCGTCGTAAAGTTGCCAAGTTTGAAAAAAAGAAAAAATTGATCTAAGATTATGAATTAAGATGATAAATAAGATGATACTTTCGACGCAGGAGCCGTTCATGGACACAGCGCATCCCGTCGTAACCTTTTGGCAAACGGGCAATATAGATTGTTTGCTTCATACGGGGGGGGGGGGGTTAAGAATTGCAATCAGCAGTGGGTTTCGTATTTCGTTCCTACTGGTTTGCCCTGCGCACGCATGCTCATTTTTGCGTACGCGCCTGCCTTCCAGACATGCGCCCAGCTTTTCACGCATGTGCTTTGCTCGCGTGTGCACCTTTCGCGCATGTACTGGGCCTGAAAAACTTGCCTAAATAGGACGGCATAGACCCTACTCTCTTGGCCTTACTCCTGAGTCGTCCTCTTTGCTTTAGCTGCTCCTGCCTTCTGGCAGCTCTTCTCATGCGTGCATTAGGAACAGGCTCCTCCTGTTCCTCTGCCTCTCTACTGTCAGCCTCTGGAGGCTCCGGAGTCCGCACATCACTCCCCGATGGCCCTGGCCCCATCTCTGCCTCCGACGCAGAGCCCTCATCCGGGCCTTTCCCAGCCTCCAGGACTGGCCCATATTCTTCCTCAGCCTCATCGTTTTCCGACTCCGCTGCCAGCTCCGGCTGGCTGCTGGCGGACCACAACAGAGCCAAAACTAACAATAAACACGCCACGCTGGGTTTATTTTAACTTAAGTCCGATAATCTTCCCTGCACGCAGCTCGTCTAGAACAAGTCGCTTGTCGGGGAGTTGCTAAACCGGCCGGCTTTAGGCCTGCTCAATTGCCCCGACACTCTTTATAAAAATAACAAGGAAAAGAAAGACCCTGAGAGTTAACCTCTGCAGAAGAAAGTAATTTAGGTTGCTTTGAGGGAGGTGTGAAATTGCCTGGAGCGCTTTTGAGCTAGTCATCTTTTCTTTTTTTTTTTAATTTTTTTTTTTTTTAAAAGACATTTTTGGCTTCTTTTGAAATCCCACAGATGTTTTGCAGGACTTAAAAACAACAACAGATCTCTAAGTATTTGTCCATTTGGCTCTGCTGTTTTTCTTTCAAAGGTTTTCCCACCCCCACCTTCCCTTTATCCTTCTTCAATTTGAAATGTTGGGGAATTGAACCGGCAAACCTTTGAACATTAGGATGTTCAAATCAGTGATGGAATTCAATTTTTTTAAAACGACCGGTTTTGTGGGCATGGCTTCGTGGGCATGGCAGGGGAAGGATACTGCAAAATCCCCATTCCCTCCCCACTCCAAGAGAAAGATACTGCAAAATCCCTATTCCCTCCCCACTCCAGGGGAAGGATATTGCAAAATCCCCATTCCCTCCCCACTCCTGGGGGAAGGATATTGCAAAATCCCCATTCCCTCCCCACTCCTGGGGAAAGGATATTGCAAAATCTCCAATCCCACCCCACTCTGGGGCCAGCAGGAGGTGGTATTTGCCAGTTCTCCGAACAACTCAAAATTTCTGCTACCGGTTCTCCAGAACCTGTCAGAACCTGCTGGATTTCACCCCTGGTTCAAATCACTGAGGTCAAAATCCTCTCCGCCTTAGCAGAGAGAGCCCAAAGACAGGCTAAAGGTACTGACCTTTTTGTAACTCACAATAAAGATCTTTCCAAAGTTCTGCAAATAAAAAATATATTAAAAAAAAAAATCACCTAAGGTTGTGCAAAATCTTGTTTTCGCTGACATGTTATTGTCCCGGATTGCTTGACAGCGAGGATTTGACAGCTTCCGAAACAATTTTTTAGAAAACTCAGTAGATACGTTGCCCTTAAATGTCAACGCAAAGAGTCAGGAATGGATTGTGGATAGGAGACCACCAGGAAATCATCACGGAACAAAACAATAGGAAATCACTTCAGTTTTGCTGCTAAGAAATAGCTCAGCACCATCATCAGAAGTTGAGTTTTAGGGTCTTACCTCTTCATGCGACGTCAGTCGTTCTTTCCCAAACTAGGCAACAGCAAGCTGAGAGGAAGCACGACCTGGTTTTCCAAAATCCATATAAATTCTGGGTGGGAATTTGTGACCTGCTGCCAATTCTGTCAAACCTGATTGGACGATAGAAGAACAAACAGCACAATAAACGACGACAGTTCTGCTAAAAAATATCTCCAGTCTTTTTTTCATTCAGCTTTACCGAACATAAATTGTTTTGCATTTTTTCCAGACGAAAAAAATAAATGAAGGACTTATGTAGTTATGAAAGTGACTGGGAGGGGCAGAGAATCACATGACCCTCTCCTGACCCACCATAGAGTCTCCTCCTAGCACGGCATCCTTTTTCCTCTGCTGACCAGAAGTCCGGTTCCCCCACCATAGAGTCTCCTCCTAGCACGGCGTCCTTTTTCCTCTACCTGTCCTAACCGAAAGCCCTATCAATTGTGGAGCCAACCAGCAACAGGGAGCCGCAGCAGAAAGAGCCACATTTGGCTCCAGAGCCACACAGGTTGCTGACCCCTGGACTAATAGAAAGTAGCTGTTAGCATTCCAGATGTTGACAATAACAGAAACACTTTCAAGAAAATTTGAAAGAAATTTCAAAACGCTCTGAAAGTTTGGTTTAAACCCCTCCACCCCACCCCAAAAGTTCCTTTTGTACAAGAATACAATTTTCAGGAAGTTTAAAGGCCAATTTTTGGGGGAAAAAAGAAAATCGGAAAGCCTGAGGACAGACGTAATGTATATAAACCTAGCTGATTAAACCTCTTGCATATTATGGAATGGGAATAAAGAATGGTTGAACTGGTAGGAATAATATTTCAATTCTATTTCTCCCCCCGCCCTTTCTCATGCAGCCTTTAGCCAAAGGAGCTTTTCTCCGAGGATCCGGATTAAATTTAACAACTGGGAGGTTTACAGCTTCGGTATCTGGCATTTATCAGTTTTCAGCCAACGTCCACATAGGTAAGTGATAGAATTAATTTATGGTATGGGTTCAAAAACTTTTTTTTTTCTTTCCATGGGCGGTTTTCTGGTTTAAGAGAATGGATATTACCCCCACTCCAAATCTATCCCACCAAAGATCAATGACCAGAAAACACGAAATGACTTTTGCTCAAAGAATGGACAGAATAAAATCAATGAAAGAGTTTGATATACATTTTACACTCATATTCAAAACTCTTCTGGTTGATTTTATACTGCACCATTATTTTCAAATGCTTATAATTATTGGGTTGCTGCTTGGATAACCATGGGCATAAAAATCCCTGCTAGCTACAGATCCTAATACATTTAAAGCTTAGGTTTTTACTCCCAGTAACTTCTAAATTTACCATGTCGCATAAAGAAACATTTCGTGGACAAAGAAAAGGAAGAGTGGCTAAATTTGTCCACTGTTTTTTCCTCTCGAGAGAACAGTGAGGAAAATGTATGAGATTCACAGTGTGTGTGAGGAAGTCAAAGCAATGGCACCTACTGTATTTTTCGGACTATAAGACGCATTGGAGTATAAAACGCACCTTACTTTTTGGGGAGGAAAATAAGAAAAAAGCTGATTGGCAGGTGGATCGAATACCCCCAATCAGCTGTTCTCAGAAGTGAATTTTAACAATAGGTTTATTGGTTGTGAGCTTTGCGCCTTGCTTTTTTTTTTTTTCAGCCTCTGAAACCTCTGTTTCAGAGGCTTTTTTTCCTGCCATTTCAGAGGCTTTTTTTCCGAAGCTCTGTTTTGGAGGCTTTTTTTTCTGAAGCTCCATTTCAAAGGCTTTTTTTCCTAAAATTCCGTTTCAGTTTCAGAGGCTTTTTTCAGCCTCTGAAACCTCCGTTTGAGAGGCTGGGCAGGGCTACATTAGGAATATAAGACGCACCCAAATTTTCACCCTCTCTTTGGGGGGGAAAAGATGCATTTTATACTCCAAAAAATACGGTAATTGATGCCAGAGATGGCCAAGGACACAGCATTCATGCACTAGCTTAGTTACACAATGCTTTGTGGTGCTGAATCTACAGGACCTTGGACAGCTCCAAGCATCCAAATTACTTTAGCCAAGGCTATTTTATCCTTCTTGGGGAGTTTACTCTTTCTCGTTCGTATCCCTGTCACCTATATTCTATAACAAAATGGTTAACATGAAACAACAATAACAATAAACATATAAAAGTAATAAGAATTATTATTAATAATAAAAGACAAGATTGAAATTCCAAACCCCTCCGGTTTGCAAACTGTTATTGTAATCAACTCATAGAACATTTACCACGGCTTCAATCCTAAATCATTCCAAATATGAACCCTAATTGGTTCCCGGATGAAAAGATCCATGTTTGTTTCTTAATAACCACTTCTTATCGATAGCTGATTAATTCAATACAATAAGACCAATCTCCAAAGTCAATCTATTGATTGGCTGTCGTCCATCCTCAGCCTTCCAGCCTTCCAAGGTGGGTAAAATGAGGACCCAGATTGTTGGGGGCAAAAGGCTGACTTTTGTAAACCGCTTAGAGAGGGCTGTTAAGCAGTGTGAAGCGGTATATAAGTCTAAGAGCTATTGCTATCTTCAAATATTCCTTTGTATCCCAAATGATTGTGTTTTCATTGTGGCTGGCCCTGGGAAGTGAAAGGAAGATTTGGGTTAGAGTTTTTTGGGGGATAGGTCTTAATTTAAGGGAGGGCCTGCTCCTGGTTGCACCTATAGGCTCAGAACTTAGTTTCACTGCTTTTATTAAATTGCTGCATACTGTAAGGCCAATAGCAATAGCACGCAGGTTTATATACCGCTTCACAGAGCTTTTACAGCCCTCTCTAAGCGGTTTACAGAGCCAGCCTCTTGCCCCCAACAATCTGGGTCCTCATTTTACCCACCTCGGAAGGACGGAAGTTGAGTCGACCTTGAGCCTGGTGGGATTTGAACTGCCAAACTGCAGGCAGCCAGCAGTCAGCAGAAGTAGCCTGTAGTACCGCGCGCTCTAACCACTGCGCCGCCGAGGCTCAGTCCAATCCAGTTATTTCCTTTCCTTCTGTGTCTTGATTTCTGCTCCCAACCATATTTATAATTTCTGAAGGTGGGGACAGAGAAGAATGATAATCACCCTTCATCCAATGATGAAGTAACATTTATTTCAACCGGGCCCAGGGATCGTGGTCAGGATGTAAAAACTAATTGGAAGGCCAGTGCTGGAAAATTTATTCCTTTTGCACTGAACATTCTTGAATGCTTAAAACAGAAATGATTTCTTTTCAACGTTTCTTTCTTTCTTTCTTTCTTTCTTTCTTTCTTTCTTTCTTTCTTTCTTTCCTTCCTTCCTTCCTTCCTTCCTTCCTTCCTTCCTTTCCTTCCTTCCTTTCCTTTCTCTCCAAGACCACAGTGAGCTGAAAAGTAAACTGCAGCTTCGAGCAAGAGACAATGTCCGAGTTTTGATCTGCATTGAATCCCTCTGCCACCGATATACGTGAGTGCGTCGAATTGCTGGAATTGTGGGTTTGTTTTTATCCTGGATCACCGGAGATCTACCACAAATTATCTTTTGGCATTTTAATTCGGTTCCTCCTGCCTCTTCTTTCTGCAGGAACTGTCCTTCCCAGGTGCTATGAGCTCTTTCTTTATATATTTTTCTATTTTGATAAGCGTCCTCTTCCTTATCCCATCATTCCAGTTTATTCCTTCCTCCAATCATCTGGTTTTCAGCTTTTTCCAATCTCAGTAGCCTCTTAGCAGAATTCATTGGGCCTCTTTTGGCTCCATGGCCCATACATGCATAAATACAGCACAAACTTAAAATAGTTTTATATTTCTGGGTTAGGACACTGTATTTTAGTAAATACTATAGCAGCCATTCTCGGGACGCGGTGGCTCAGTGGCTAAGATGCTGAGTTTGTCGATCGAAAGGTCGGCAGTTCAGTGGTTTGAATCCCTAGTGCCGCATAATGGGGTGAGTTCCCGTTACTTTTCCCAGCATCTGCCAACCTAGCAGTTCGAAAGCACGTAAAAAAAAAATGCAAGTAGAAAAAATAAGGACCACCGTTGGTGGGAAGGGAACAGCGTTTCGTGCACCTTTGGCGTTGAGTCATGCCGGCCACATGACCACGGAGAGGTCTTCGGACAGTGCTGGCTCTTCGGCTTTGAAACGGAGATGAGCACCGCCCCCTAGAGTCGGGAACGACCAGCACATATGTGCAAGGAGAACCTTTACCTTTATAGCTTGATGTCATCTCGGTAGTTACATCCTGGCCAGCAAATGACTGTCTCCTCCTTTTTTTGCATCTACCTAGATCTTTGGAGGTGATCGCTGGGCTGGAAAGCAACAGTAAAGTTTTTACGGTTTACGTTCATGGATTGCTCCAACTCCAGGTAAGGATTATGCAACAAATGGTTTCGGATGAATTCTGAGTTCCAAGAATTTTGCTCACAATCTCTTTTCTGCGTCCAAATGTTGCCAGCCACACACTCTCTCCAGATGTGTCCAGTTGTCCTGTCTAGTGAGTCCAGTGAGTTCCAACCAGGGCACTCTAGGAATTTGCACTAACTAAAGGCTGGGTGTCAGAGGGACACCAGGTAGATGGTTAATGTCAGAAATCTTTTGTGACCAACTGAGGGAGAATAACAGAGTTGGAAGGGACCTTGGAGGTCTTCTAGTCCAACCCTCTTCTAGTTTGGCATCCGTGTGTAATATCGCATTCATTTTTCCTTTTCTTTTCTCCCATATTCCTTCCGTGGCACAGGCTGGACAATACACCTCGATCTTTGTGGACAACAGCGCCGGGGCCCCCGTTACCATTCAGAACGGATCTGACTTCATGGGCATGTTTGTGGGAGTCTAACTCCCAAGACCATCTGCCACGGAGAACGGAGGGTGGGGTGGGGTGGGGAGAAAACGCCTCTGGCCATCGCATGGAGAAGCTTGAACTCTGAACCCCGCCTGCTCAAAGGACCCACCTTCTCTTCGCCATTAGCCAAATTCTGCAGCCGAATGAAGCAAATGTCTTTCCCCACCCACCCACCCACCCAAGGAGGCCTAGCAACAATCCAAGAGAGAGAGGATAGACTTCAACGTGGAATCCAAAACCCAGATATAATTTTCCTTCCGTTGGCAGATTCAGATTTTTCCATCTGAGATCCAAGAAAATCTCTGATCCCAATAAAGGGGGGCGGGGGGGCTGAGAATATGCTGGGCATCAGAGCTTATTGGTAGAACCAATGTTTCTCCCATATATTCAGGAAGTCAAAACACTAGGAAATCAAGTGCCCCCTGTGCTTTTAGTATTATTTTGGTCTCAAGGTACCTGCAACGAGGGTTCATCTAGAAAGGTATTCATTCCCCCCGTCTACAGAAGAAGACAAAATACATTGGAGAAAGTGTAGGACGTGTCTGGAGTCTGGATCCTTTCTGGATTTGAAAGCTAAATCCTGCCGACCCGGTGTGGGAGACCTCTAGGAATCTGGTTGTCCAAAAAAAGAATCTCAGAAGGCGACAATGGCAAACCATCCTAGTGTTGGTCTTGGAAAATGCTGATGGCCACAAATCATGGTTTTGGGCACTACTACCCCAGCTCAAAATAGATTTGGTTTTTAATAGATTGGTTTATCTCCCAGATCGGTGGGGTCAGAAAAGATCTGCCTGGTCTTTGAAAAGCTGCTGCCAGTTCACGTGGACAAGCTGATGGACTAACACGCAACTAACACGTTTCTTACGTTCTCCGTCTTGTGTTTTGAAGTGGCCAACCCAGATGGTTGTGGGAAATGCATCAGTAGGGCAGCCCAAACTCACTCCCTTTTCCGATCCTGAGTATCGTGCGATACGCTGAGAATGGCCCCAGAGTTCTTTCTCTGTCCCAATTCAAAGCAGGACATTTTTTAGATCCTCTTCTCGTTAGTTTGAAGATTTGGGACCCTTTTTAGATTTATTGTACTATTTAAAAAGTGCTTGCAACCTAAAGCCAATTTATGCCTGGGCGAAAAATTCTTCTTGTAAGTCATTTTATTTCGGAGTGGCTGATTTGACCTTGAGTCTGCAGGGCCCTCCATAAACATCTTGGAAAGGAAGATGGTGCACTTCGATTGCAGAAAGACACAGTTTTAATTCTCAGGTCCCTGGAAAGGGCTGGTGGGGCTTCCTACCAGGGGTGAAATGCTACCAGTTTGGACCGGTTCGGGGGAACCGGTTGTAATAAAAGCTACTGGTTCAGGGTGAACTGACAGTAAAAAAATGCTACTGATTTGTCCGAACTGCTATTTCCAACGATTAGCTGTGCCGCGCAATTTATAATAGCTAGAAAGCGGGAAATTCTGCTTTCTAGCGAATCTAAATCGCGCGGCACAGTCGTTCCCTTGCCTCGCTGTTCTACTTACCTTCTTAAGCCTCTTTTTTCTGTATGAAAGGCGGAAACCTCAGAGGATTTCACCGCTGCTTCCTACCTGAAATTCTGGGAGAGCAATTGAAGTGGCTCAGGAAAATGCAGCACCCTACGTTTCTCCTCAAAGGAAGCCCTGGGATATAACGATTGAAATAATTATACTGACCAAATCTAACCTGAAAATTTGGATTCTGAGTTAGGGCTAGGAGACAAGGCCGTGTTAATTGAAAAGGACATGTCCACGCTGGCATCGTTTAAGTTTCTCTCTTCTCACATGTCATTTGTGTCACACTCTTGATATCCGCTTCCGAGCTCAGTTTCAAGAAACGATGCCGGCGGTTTTTCAGAGTTTTCTACCATGCCTGGGTATCTGCTTTTAAACGGGTCCTCCTTAATTGTTATTAGAATGGAAAGAAGTGTATATTATTTAAACTCTTTATGCTTGACCCTAAGATCCCAGCCCTTAATGTCGGAAGGTCGTGCAAAGCCAGACCGGAGCGAAGCTTCGACATGAACTGAACTGATTTCTGTTGAGACAGAACTGCTGGCTTTGTTGAGATCATTGCAAGTGAAGTGGGAGGATAAGCGTGATTCTCTGCCTCGCACATACACCAAGAGATGGTCACACATATGTACATGAGAACTGCAGGAGCGAATAATCCAGTCCCATCTTTGGAGACGGCTGAAATCAAGTATACAACCTTGGATTGTTGGAAAGTGACAATAATCCGACTCGGGACGGTGCTGAAGAAGGCGGAAGCGACCCCATTCAGACTTTCGTGGGATTTCAATGGAGAAAAAACAAAAACGCTGTGTGAAATAAGGGGCTGCCCCTTTCCCTGTCTGTGACGCCTTCATTTATCTGTCACAGTTTGTGACTTTGCCTTGTTGTGTCCACCTGTGACGGCCCCCAACAGCAGGTCAAGGGTGAAATGGTGGGATTGACTTCTGCTCACTCTGAAGAGCTGAATATCGGCAGTCAGTGAATTCCCACCGGCAGCCAAAGAGTTGTGACAGGCCTGGTTTCTCTCTTTCTAAAACTTCAGAAAGGCCCAGATCTAGAGGAACTCCCCTTTTGCAGGTGTGAATAATAATTTGCCCGATTTGGAACCGATTTGATAGTATGGCTACTTTCTGGGAGAAATTATATACCGATGGGAAGTCCTTCAAGCCTCCAATCTGAGTTAGGGAGCTTGGTATATGTTCCTTTTCCTTTTCTTTGGGGCTGGACATCTTGAGAAACACACAACGATGTCAGGCTACAGACGAAATTGTAGAAAGAATTGCTATAAGGACAGTAGTGAGTTTCACTTACTTCCGCTTCCGTTTGGAACTGTGAGTGCACGCCCGTGCTCCCTTCATTCACGCATGACGCTTCTGCACATGCGCAGAACCTTCTCTGTATGCGCAGAGCGTCCGTGATGACGTCCCATCGCCGCCGCTACCGGTAGTAATCCACCACTACATATAGTGTTTTCCCGAAAATAAGACCCTGTCTTATATTTTTTGAACCCTGAAATAAGCGCTTGGCCTTATTGCCATGAGCTCAAAAGCCCGATGGAACTTATTATCGGGGGATGTCTTATTTTGGGGAAAACAGGGTAAGGATAAATGTGACAGAAGACTGCCATTAGGGGCAGTAGTCCCAATTCTTTTCCTATGTTTAGTCCTTCCCTAGATGATTAGAAAAAATTGACCTTTTCCTGCTGGCTGGGTGACACTTTTTATTTTATTTTATTTCGAGACTGAAGAAGATGTCAAAAAATTGGAGGGGGGGGGAAACCATTTCAAAGCAAGTGCAACCATTATAGCAAAATGTCTTGGCTTTTCTTTTACTGTCTTATGTTTTAATAAGATACATAAATAAATCTGTATATTTAGCCGCATTGTATACACTGTAGTCTCTCCCTTCCCCTCTCTCCCAGCCAGGGTGAGTCTAGAAAGTTGTAAACAGATCACAGCACACCGGATTGGTTGCCAAGTGGTCTGGCATGATACAAGCTGGCTGGCAAAGTACATGTTGACTTTAACGTAAGGATGAAAGGCTGCAAGGAATAGCATTGTGCTGCTTTAAGGGAAGCTGGAAGCTCTGCTTAGGAGACAGGATCCTGGCTAGCTTTCCATGTCACTTCTGAACCCTAGAGATCATTTTTGAGATTCAAACTGTGTCCACCCTAAACTGACTCTTGTGCGTGGCTCTTCCATCATTTGAATTGACACGGTAGCAGTGTTCCAGTATCTAAGGGGCCGGAATGGGACTTTTCGTCTCTGATCCTTGGCCGCGCCTCCTTCTCCGCCAGAGCTCCTTCTCCGCTGATTCTCCTCTGACTTTTCTCCTCGGCTGACATGCCCCCAGCCATTCACCCTGGGCATTGGGCCACGGTCCCTCTGTCCCACACACTTCGGCACAGCCGATTCGCAGAAGGAGGGTTCGTCCTGGGTTTTTCTCCACCAATCGCCTGAGGAGGAACGCTGGCAGAGAAGGAGGTGAGGTCAAGGGTAGGAGACGAAAAGTCCTAGACCAGTGATGGTCAACCTTTTTGCCATCGCGTGCCAAAAGCAGGGGGAGCGTGGGGGGGTCGCACACGCATGTGCCCACACCCATAATTCTATGCCCCCCATCCCCGTGCATGCATATGCGACCCCCACTCGCTCCCCCTGCTTTTGGCACATGGTGGGCCCGGTAGGCCCGTTTTTCGCTCTTCCAAGGCTCCAGAGCCTTTCTAGGAGTCTGGGGAGGGCAAAAAAGGCCTTCCCCACCCCCATGGACGCCCTCCGGAGACCGGAAACAGCCTGTTTCCCAACTTCCGGTGGGCCCAGAAGACCCGAAAATTAGCTGTCCAGCGTGGACATGTGCACTGGAGTTGAGCTCACGTGCCCACCGATATGGCTTCGGGTGCCACCTGTGGCACGCGTGCCATAGGTTCGCCATCACGGTCCTAGACCCTAAGGGGCTGCCACAAAGAAGAGGGGGTCAGCCTATTCTCCAAAGCAGGACAAGAAGCAACAGATGGAAACTAATCAAGGAGAGAAGCAACCTAGAACTAAGGAGGAATTTTCCTGACAGTGAGAACAATTAATCCATGGAAGGAACCACTTGCCTCCAGAAGCTGTGAATGCTCCAACACTGGAGGTTTTTAAGAAGAGGTTGGATAACCATTTGTCTGAAGTGGTGTACGGTTTCCTGCCTAAGCAGGGGGTTGGACTAGAAGACCTCCAAGCTCCCTTCCAACTCTTGTTATTCTATATATTTTATATAAATAAAGAAGCACTAATACTGTACAGCTGACCTATTTAAAAAGTTCTGAAAGAAAATCGAGGCAGCCTGTTCTCCGTCTCAAAGAGGAAGCCTTGCTCCAAAATTGCCCCGTGCCCTTTCCATCGCCTGACTGCCCCTCTTCCCCCTTCATCGTTTGCTAATGCCACCAACCCATCTGGTACTTCGACAGCTCCGCGGCTCCGCTCTCGTGTTTTCCCTGGCAGAGTTTTCGACAGGTTACGTCGTTTTTTTTTAAAGCCTTCTTCAGATTTCAGGGGGGGGGGGGTTGTAAATGATTTTGATGCCACGTTCCAGACTGACTCCATGGGTATTTATGTTGGATTAGCGGCGGCTTTCTGCCTTCCCTCACCAGAGCAAAAAAAAGAGAGATGAAAATCAGCGGGTATATAAACTTCTTCTGAGTGGCAGGGAGTTTAACCCTTCCTACAAAACCCTTCCCCAGTCTTATTAATAGTTTGCAGGGAGCAAGTTAGAAGTACTGATCCAAGATAAAACCAGGTATCCCTTTGAAGAACTGAGCAACCCCTAATTTAAGGGTTGTGTGCTGGGTGTTGCAGAAACTGGAGTCGCGATCTTCACAATCAAGGAAACACTCCAGATTTGTGGGATCCTTTAAGCCAGATGCTTGCAGTGGCTCTCCTCACCAACTGTTTCTGTTTAGCTCAGTTCTCTGGACAATTTCCTCCCAAAGAAATTAATCTCCCCTAATTGCCAATATCCCCCCGTCCCCCCAGCAGTGATGAAATCCAATTTTTTTTACTACCGGTTCTGTGGGGGTGGCTTGGTGGGCGTGGCAGGATACTGCAAAATCTCCATTTCTACCCCTCTCCACTGGCATGCAGTGCCTTTTCTGTGGGCACATGAGCCGTCACTCCAGTTCAGCTCTACCGCACATGCGTGCGCACCTCCCGCCAGCCAGCTAGTAAATTGTTTTACTATCGGTTCTGTGGGCATGGCTTCCAGATGTGACGAGATTATATATATCCCAAATTTTCAGCCAGCACTGGGCACACAGGCTAAGTTGCATTTGGTTATAGGATCCTGGATTGACATTATACTCCAAATGGATTACTTTTTTTTTCCCCCAACGAGTGTAGTCTTTTTCTCTGCTTTCACACAGCAGTCTTCCCTTCTTTCACACCTGCTCATCCTTTCAGCCCACCTCCTTATCTGAACTTCTGCTTGTTTTGGTTGGCTGTTTTGTTGGTTAGCTTCTGCTAAATTGGGGATGACGCTGGATCGAAGTGACTTGAGTTGGGTGAGAAACAAGCGTGAGATGGAAGAACCTTCAAGGTTTCAAAATATCCATATTCTAGGTTGAAATCTAAGGAGGTATTTATATTGTGGGTGAACAGAATTGGTTCTGGGTATCATTCATATTAACCCAATTCACAATAACCATATTGGTAATCTCTATCACATTTCTCAAATTTAAGTGAGCCTCGTTATATTGTTCAAACATACATACTCAAAAAAAAAAAATGGCTTACCCCTCATCTTTATCTCTACCTTCATCTATATCTTTCTTGCTCTATCTAAATATTTCTCTATTGTACACGAACGAATTTAACTTAAGTTTCATTTATATCGATCCAATTCACGCTAACGTTTATCCAGTTTATATGATCCTCATGATATTATTTATACCTCTCCTCTTTAGTTCTTCAGTTCTGATCCATTTTTTTTCATATGAATCCAATTCACAACAGCATGAACAGATTTAACTAGATAGCATCCATGTTGATTCAATTCAGATTCACATTATTAATTATCTCTACCCCATTAATCAGATTTATATAATTCCGCTACGTTGTTTAAATATACCTAACATCTGTAAACTTCTAATCTATTGTTTTTATTCATTCGATAAGCAATTTGTTTTAATATTTCCCCTATCTAATTTTCTTTCTGCCTCTCTAGCTTATAATAGGCTATTTTAATATTTAAAGGGAGATTTTTTTTTTACCCATCATCTCTTCTCTTTTTTAGCACTTCAATTCTTATCCATTTTTTCAGTTCGGAGAATCTACTGCAGCTCAATTCCAACCACCTTTGTTTTGGTTGTGAGGATGTAGCCTTCCGCTTACAATTGAGTCATTCCTGGGGACCATGTGTTCTAACATGTCACTGGAAGGAATGCCTTTTTTAAAAAAAAACAAAAAACAAAACACAGTTTTTTGGGAGGAACAAGAAATAAGGCCATGTATGTGTGTGTAAGTAGAGTGTAAGCAAGAACACACCAAATGCCTCGAAGCGATAGCGTGTCATAAATGTTATGTAGGGAGGCAAAGACAGATCCTTTTAACAACATGTCAGCAGTGTTGCTAATTTAGAAGGCAAATAATTCACTCAAGGCCTATTCCTCCTCTTCCCCCCCCCTCCATTCCCGCCCCCCCCCCCCAATATTTTTCTATCTTTCCTCTCCTCCTCCTTCTTCACCTCCTGGTTCTCCTTCCAGGCAGATTAAAAATTCTGTTTGGAACTTGTCAAAAAAAAAAAAAAAAAACAGGACAGAAAAATAAATGCAGCCGAGTCCCAAATGGAAATTTGAGCTTTATGATCGCTCTTCTCTGCCATTTTTCTAGAGTCTCAACACCTTTTTTTATAGCGTGGTGATTAAACAGTGGCTAGAGAGATAAAATCTGACTCTCGGTCTAGAGAGGTTAAGAGCTAGAAGAGAATTCATCACAGCTGCATTGCAAGAGGATCAAAAGACTGAGGAGCATGGGATATGTAGTGGTCTTTCCACGCCTCCGAGAACAGAGAAAAACAAATCGGATCCAGATCGTAGCTGCCCCGTAACCATACGGTACTTGCATTCTCTTTGACTCTCGTGGTCTTCGCGCGTAACAAACGTATCAAGATCCACCAGTGTTGGGCTTGAGCCCTTGCGGCATCGTATTGCAGAAGGACTCCCTGCAAAGGAAGTCACCGGAGGTGGAAAACAAACAAAGATGCAGTTATAAGATTGTGTTGAAAAATGATATACCAGCTGAGTGGTGTTGCTCAACTTTTCCCGTAGGGCTGGTTCATCTCAGTTCACCCTTCCCAAAACCATCCCGCCTTGCCAGCGGTATACTCTACTTGCGGTGATAGAGACCACGTTTGATACCGTCAGAAAGAGAGTCACATCCAAGAAACAGACATAGATAGATACAAAGATTTAAGAGAGGAATTTGGGAGGCAAGTCAAAAAAAAAAAAAAAGCGTAGCAATTAAAATATCGAAGCGGGCAAGAGACGATGGATAGATGATTTTCTTTTTTTATTGTTGTTTTGATTTGCTTTTCCTTTTTCCTCTCTTTCTTTTAAAGCACAGCAATTAAAGTATTGAAGCGGGCAAGTGATGATGGATGGATGATTTCTCGTTTTTGTTGTTGTTCGGAATTGTTTTTCCTTTTTTCTCTCTCTCTTTTCCTTTTTTTTTTTTTTTGATAGGTGACACGATTAGAAATTAGATAGGAAAGAAAGAAAAAATCTTTTAATAAAAGGTGAAAGGGTTAAAAGTTAGAATAAGTGATAGAAATAAGAGAAGGGGGAATATCAGTGTATACATTTTTAGATCATAAAATGAAAGTAATAACAAGAGAATACGCAGGATAATCGAACCATGCTAGACTGTAACCTAATATAAATGTGTATTATTATTAGAAATATATAGGCTGATTGAATATAATAATTATGATTAACCTGATTAGTTTTATTTGTATTTACCAGACTGGATCTAATTATCTAAAAGTCATTACTTCTGAAGAAAAAACAAATTATTTGGGGGGGGAGGGAATTTAGGGGATCGCTTGAGGCAGGCTTGTACTTTTGAAAAAAGGGGAAATCGGAAAACGAGAGGGAAAGAAGAGGAGAAAACTAATCTAAATTCATATCGTCGGTTCCAAATTTGGAGCGGGAGGGTGAAAAATCCACTAAGGCCAGCGTAATTGGGTCCAAGCCCTTGGCTGGAAATCCAGAAGCTGGATGGATTTATGGCTTTGTGGGTGAAATTAATGAGCTCCCAATAGCCCAGCTCCTAAGTGCGTTCTCTAACCAATTTTGCTTCGCTCGGAGTCACACGATGGAGACCGACATCTTAGGTTTCACGAGGCTCCCCTGTGTCCTACTGGCTTGGCAAAAGGATGTATTTTTTGTGTGTGTGTGTGTTAGAGAATGCGGCTAAAAGCTCCATTCTTTCGCAGGGCACTGTCTGACTTCGCGGTCATTTCCACTGCCCTGCGTTGCAACCGCTGAGCGTGACGCGGCGCTCGAGGGCAGGATCCCAACTACGGGGCTGCCAAAACACCTGGCCATGTGGCGAGAGAGACCATCTCTAACGTGCCCATCCCGGTGCAAGTTAAATCGGGGTCAAAGCCGAGGGGGCTGCGGACTTCACGGTTGGCCTCTGAGCCAGAAGTGGTATTCAGCCGGTTCGGATCGGTTCGCCTGAACCGATAGCGGGAATCGTGGGTGGCCCTGCCCACCTACCCCGGCTCTATGCCATCTTATTTAGGCATGTTTTTGAGGCCGGGTGCGTGCGAAGCACATGTGTGGAAGGCCGGGCACATGCATTGATGGGCACTCACATTTCCGAACCGGTAGGGAAAATCAGTGAACACTACCCCTGCTTTGAGCCATTACCAGTGTCTGGTGGCAGGGATCTTTCCAGAATGAAGCTTGCTTGGGAAAAGCGTCCGATGAATTCCTAAAGAAGAAGATAAATGGTTTTTGGTCAGATGAGCTTCTTCGGCTTTCGTAACAAAAAAACAAAACAAAACAGTGAGGTTTAGGGTCATTCGGAAAGGGGGACATTTTTGCCGAGTTGTTTAGGATTCTGTACTCCAAAAGCAGCTTTGAACCATAATTCATTGCTTTGATTTTTTTTTTTTTTAGGAGACTCCCATTGGCGGACATGTCCAGTGGGTTAGACTTTTGTTGAGGAGCAGGATTTATCTTTTTTTGCTTTTTTATCTTTTTCCTCTGCTGTTCCCAAGAGCCGTTATGGTATCCTTACATCTCGCTATTCCAGCTTCTACTACTCCATAATGAAATGACAGAACATGGGCTCGCACACAGGGGTGAAATCCAGCAGGTTCTGACAGGTTCTGGAGAACCGGTAGTGCAAATTTTGAGAGTTCGGAGTACCGGCAAATACCACCTTTGGCTGGCTCCAGAGGGTGGTGGGAATGGGGATTTTGCAAGATCCTTCCCCCAGGAGTGGGGAGGGAATGGGGATTTTGCAAGATCCTTCCCCCAGGAGTGGGGAGGGAATGGGGATTTTGCAGTATCCTTCCCCTAGAGCGGGGAGGGAATGGGGATTTTGCAGTATCCTTCCCCTGGAGTGGGGAGGGAATGGGGATTTTGCAGTATCCTTCCCCTGGAGTGGAGTGGGAATGGGGATTTTGCAAGATCCTTCCCCCTGGAGTGGGGAGGGAATGGGGATTTGGCAGTATCCTTCCCCTGCCATGCCCATCAAGCCACGCCCACAGAACCGGTAGTAAAAAAAAATTGGATTTCACCACTGGCTTGGCCATATGCTGCATGGACACAGATCTGGGTGTGCAGGTGTCTCCAGAGCAAACTGGGATCGATCGGTAAGTCTCTGCTCCAGATGCAGGCCAACACTCAACAGCAGACTCTGCTTGAGTAAGAATCATATCTGGATGCCGTTCGTTGTAACTTTTGGAATGAAATTGTCAGCCTTGCAAGGTAGGCCTGAGCAGGAGCACCCCCAGAAGAAGTTGCTCTATTCTATTCCACCCTCAATGGGGTTGCCTGGCCAGTCCATTGAAATAATTGGGGGTGGGCAGATGCCTTAAGGCAGGGGTGCCCAACCCCCAGTCTGTGGACTGGCACCTGTCTGTGGCATGCCAGCAACCGGGCCACGCAAACAAGTGAAATCCTATCCGGGGGGGATGCAGGCAGCAGACAAAACCACGTCCACCAGTCTGTGGAAAAACCTCAACAGAACCAGTCCCTGGTTTTGGGACCATGCTTGTCTCGTAAGGAATCAAGAGGCGAGATCTTTTCTGCCTCGCACTTTTCCCAATTTCTGCCCCCTCCCTCGCAAAGCCCGTCTTTGCTTCAGGTTTCCAAGACCCAACGAGACCCCTCCACGCCGCGGTGGCGAGCGACTCCCCAGCTCAGACTGCAAATCTTTCAAAAGGATTAGGGTTTAAACTTCAAATAGAAGAATGTAAATGTGTCTGGCTCCACGGTGGCTGGAAACTTCTCGCCGGAGCCAAAGTTGGTCCATACTTGGCGAAGACGAGCCGTTCGTCTGCCTACCCCAATTGCATTCCAGTTCCCGGGGCTGGAAAATGTTGAAGATGGGGCTGTGCTTCGCCCACGGATGTCATATAACAGATCCACGGGCGGGTTGTAGAAAAACAGGGAGCGAATTGGGGGGTTCGGGAGATCAGGCCCGAAGCAGATTGATGGCTGTGTTAACAAGCTAACACTGCAAGTCAGGCCACTGGGGATTTAGAAGATGGGGACAGGGCCAGAGTGATAGCGTGGCTCCCTAGAGATGAGGATTTAAAAGGCCTTTTGCTAACTTTCCCCAAGTGTTGAAAGCTTCATTTCCTCGGGGCCCTTCCTGACTGCCCTTGTCAGCCTTCCGGCTCAATAGGGACCCTGTTGTATCTCTCCAAATCAGTGGTGGCATTCAGCCGGTTCGATCCGGTTTGGATGAAACGGCTCCACCCACCCGCCCGGACGTAATCACGTTCCATTCAACCACATTTTTTGATGCTTTGTGCGTATGCACAAAGATGTGGAGACTCTAGAAAGAGTGCAGAGAAGAGCAACTAAGATGATTAGGGGTCTGGAGGCTAAAACATATAAAGAATGATTGCAGGAACTGGGTATGTCTACTTTGATGAAAAGAAGGACTAGGAGAAAGATGATAGCAGTGTTCCAATATCTCAGGGGCTGCCCCAAAGAAGAGGGAGCCAAGCTATTCTCCAAAGCACCTAAGGGCAGGACAAGAAGCAACAGGTGGAAACTGATCAAGGAGAGAAGCAATTTAGAACTAAGGAGAAATTTCCTGACAGTTAGGACAATTAATCGGTGGAACCACTTGCCTCCAGAAGTTGTGAATGCTCCAACACTGGAAGTTTTTAAGAAGATGTTGGATAACCATTTGTCTGTAGTGGTGTAAGGTTTCCTGCCTAAGCAGGGGGTTGGACTAGAAGACCTCCAAGGTCCCTTCCTTCTATTCTATTCTATTCTATTCTATTCTATTCTATTCTATTCTATT